CCGTACAGGAAAGAATGGCCTTAGTCTGAATATGCTACCAAAAAAATTGTTTTTTCACTCAGGATTTTGTGAGCAATTTAAAGTTTGTAGAAAATGTGAAAGCAGAAACACCTGCTACAAGGAAGACAAGAAATACTCTCAGGTTTCAGCAAGCTCTGCCCTTGTAACACATTCTCACCATTTTGAGATGCTCCCTTGCATACCCTATCAAGTCACAGTCTCTGTTCAGGCATTTGTGATAATGTGCAATGCCAGGGACTAAACTGAAACAGAAAAACATAGGTGCACCATGCTGGTAGGTAAGTAGGTAAGAAGGGAACACAAAAAGCACAAGGACGTGTTCAGCAAGGGTAGAAGCTTACCTTTGGTGAGCTGAGAACATTAACCCTTCAGAAGATAGCTCTCCTTTGATACTTGGATTACTGGCTACATTTAACAAGCTGAAACTTTTGCTGGAACTTGCTAAAACAGGCTGCCCAGAGAGGTTGTGGAGGTGTTCAAGGCCAGGTTGGATGGGGCCCTGGGCAGCCTGGTCTGGTATTAAATGGGGAGGTTGACGGCCCTGCATGTGGCAGGCGGATTGGAGATTCATGATCCTCGAGGTTCCTTCCAACCCTGACCATTCTGTGATTCTGAAACTTTTATGCCAAATTCACTTTCCTCATCACTCCCCACAAAGGAAGCCAGGGAACAGCAAGTCCATGGCAGTACTCCAAACTGTGCACTTTACTCCAAATCCTGAGGGCAGCTGCATGACTCCATAAAAGACCTCCAGCCCTAGAAGTCCTGGTGCAGTGCACGCAACGTATCTGTTTTTATGGAAATATTTTCAGCCTACTGCATAAGAGGGTTAAACATGATTCTACATAACTGAGCATGGTTACAGATGCTATTAACAGCACTCACAGCATCACAACAATGCTCGATGTGGACTGTCACCCAAGAAGCATCCTAAGATGGTTGAATATAATCACATTCCAATCGTAAGCTGAGAGCAATCGATGAAAATTTACAATTCTGCCTTGCTGTCTGTATGGTTAAACATGCAGTTATTCAGATATTCACTTCGGTGTCTTGATGATCCTTTTAAGCCTCTATTCTATGGCAGCAGCATACATTTGCCAGAGGCATTCTGAGCAGGCCATTTGATAGGAATATTCCTTACACGAGAGATTCAACTAACCAGGCACATCTGGCATGGAAAGATTTGCATTAAGATTCTTTTATACCAAGCACTTCACTCATTAGCAAGAAAATAAGCCATCTGTGATTATTAAAATCTTGTAGATTGGAAGTCTAGCACCTCCTCAAGATCTTGATCAGTTAAGCACATGTTGGAGCACACCCAGCCTTCTGCACGGGGACAAATCAGCTCATAGGTAAGAGGCTAGAGCAATTCTCAGAGCCAGTGCAAGCAGGAAATGGAGGCAAGCTCTCTGATCCATCACCTACATGAAAATTACACACAGTACATGGGAAGTAAGCTCCTAAAAATAAATTGAGTACCGTGCACACACAGTATCCCTGCTTGTGTAAAATTAGGTACAGTGTGCTGGTTCTTTGGCTTCAGTCCAGAAAAAGGGAAACAGAAGGGCATCCAATTTAAACAAAAAAGTGAATGTGATATCTCAAATACCTATTAAGCAAAATGAAAGCTTTTTTTGTACATAGAAATACATACATTACATACATGGCTGAATGTTAATATTGCTGCCACAGCTATGAGCCATTTGTTTTAGGTCATATTCCATGCTTACTTCTTTAAAAATTATATACTTTTTTTTTTTCCAATGAACTAAAAAGAACACCAATGCCACAGTAGGAACTGTATCCCTCCTACCAGCCTCATGACAGCTTTGAGTCATCTGACTGCTAAGCCAGCAAGGACAATAAAATCTGCCACTGGGTGCAGTGACGAGGCAAGCACTAGAAGCACAGCAAGAGAGCAAGCAGAAATGGGGAGAGCACAAAAGTGCCCATGGAGAGCAAGAGGGGAGACAGGAGGGCACTGCACAGCCAGCTGAAAAATCCAGCAGTAGCCAAACAGCACAGAAAAGTAGAGAGAAGTGCTTCCTGGGTTTCAGTAAATTGCTTTCAGTCAGAGTAGCCACATAATCAGCTCCTTGAATTCAGAACCCTTCAACTAGGTGCCTTAATGTGATGCCTGTCCTAGCACTGCAGAAAAAAAAGAAAAAAAGAAAAAAGGTGTACTGAATGCTGTCTTTCTTGGGGTCAGTCATACTACTTTTGTCAGTCATGCTACTTTTGTATATAAAGGAAAGAACAATCCAAAGGTAGCTATAGACACTGCTTAACAGTTGTCTATTTTCCTTTTTTTCTTTTTTTTTTTTAAAGGATACCATTAAGTGATGGGATAAGAGATTTTACAAGGCAATCCCACTCTTTCAAAAGATGCAGTGAAACATATCAAAGCTCAACAATAATACAGAAACAACACCAAATCTCCAAACTGTTGAATTTAACCATGCTAAAGAAAATGTTTTTTTCCCCCAAATATCTCATACCATACCTTTCAATAGTAATTCTTTTCTTATTTTTACTTTTTGCATTTGATCTCCCTAGTCCTTTAGTAGGAACCATGCTTAACTTTCTAGAATCTTAAATATTATGAAAAAATATTACAAAAACAGAGCGAGCATTTTACCAAATAAATGGTTCACTTCATATAAATGAAGAAGACAAGTTCATTCACAAACTTGAAACAGGAAGTACGTTTCTGCCCATGCTTACTAATACGTGAAACAGCCAAACAGTCACAGAACAGCTTGGGTTGGAAGGGGCCTTAAAGGTCATCTAGTTCCAATCCCCAGTTTTGGGCAGTGCCCACCAGCTCAGGCTGCTCAGAGCTCTATCCAACCTGGCCTTAAACACCTCCAGCCCTAAATTTTAGTTCCAACCACAGAAACTGATGTTGTCAAAACAGGCAAAAGCAAAGATGGAGCTCAGGAATATCATCAGGAATGGCTTGGCTTACAGACTTCCTCATACCAAACACCCCGTGCTTGGAGAAGGCACTAAGCAGCTGACCAACCCAGGCTCTCGATTTCACATCTTAAAAAACACTCCCCTCTAACTCAAACAATTTTACAATTCTGTGGTTGGTGGCCAAGTCACTACAGATTAACCTGAAACTCTGCTCTTCAGTTAAGATGGTGTCTCATACAACCTACATTTACAGAAAACATAATAAATACAGGCAACTAAAAAAAAGCTCACGACAGCTTGCAGCTCCTAGTGAGCCGCGGTGCTGACCATCGTTCTGAGAGAAAAACCCCAAGTTCCTGCCACTGTTTATCAAGGCAGCTGCTTCAGTTATGATCGTATGCAATCTAAAAATCCACTTGGACTGACCTAGCTCCGAAAGGAATACAGCCTGCTGGCATACCTAAATCGGGCTGCTTTTATTAGATGAGTTCTGTCAGCGTTACAAAACGTGCGTTAACTTGGAAGTGGCAAAATCAGCCCTGAAAAATCGCATATCAATACAAAGTCGGCTGCTATAAGAGACAGACTTCCCAGCCTTCAGCCCATATCGCCAAGACGACAAACGCAGTCGTTAATGACGATGCGTCAGGTGGGTTCTGGCGGCATTCCGGACACGCACCTCAGCACGCTCTGCTAACAGCGGAAGCTGACCGCGGTGCAGGGGCAGCCCCGGCTCGGCACATCCCAGCTGACACCGCCAAGCGCCCGGCCCCGTTCCCTAGCGCTTCCCACCGACTTCAGCCCCCGTGACCCCATTCCCCCCCTCCGCAAACCGCCCCGCCCGGGACCGCGGACCCACCGTTCCGATGCAGTCGGTGAGGCTGGGCGGGGGCGCCTTGGGCTTCGCCTTGCCGAAGAAGCGGTTCATGGCGGCGGTCGGCCTGCGGCTCGGCGACGGCAGCAACAACGATCGCGCCGGCCCGGAAGCACAGCGCCCACTTCGCGCCTGCGCTCTGCTAAAGGCGGAAGTACTTGCACAGAGGAGCGCTACCATTTCCGGTCACATGGGGAGGGCGGCGAACCCCCATTGGCTGTGCGGAGGGTGGGCGGTGCTAAGCAGAGCCCATTTAAAGGGGCACCGCGGTACAGCGCAACTGGAGCCGTCTCTCTGGCAGGATTGGTGCTGTTGGCTGGATTGAAGCTGTAGGTGATGTCCCACCTGCACTTGTTCTGAATCTTATTCAGGGCTTGGCGTGAAGGGCGGGATATTGTTCTTCAACACAAAACATCTGGAAGGATGCAGGATAGATTTAAGACTGTAATGAAAAATAAGTGCTTTCTTCGTAAGAAGTGGATGCACATATAATTTAGCATGTGCTGTATTTCATCAGTGGTTTCATCAAAATCAAATAACTATTGGTCAATCAACCAAATAAAATATTTCAAAAGCAACTTTAAAAGATGTTTCTCAGCACTGAATTTGAAAAGGAAGGAATTGTGAGCTTTTTGGGAGAACTGGAATACTTACGAGATTATCTATATGTTCTAAGGCTTACTTTTTAACACACCAGGATTCCAGTTAACAGAAATACCCAGTAGGCAGGCTCCAATAGTTTTAAGTATTCAAATTCAAAGATACATCTACATCCATGCATGTTCCCTCCCACACCACGTACTGTGCAACTGTAAATATGTCATGTCAGCCTTGCATCAGCTTTTCCCTTTTTTCCCCTCCCTGGAAGCACTGAAGGCCAGGCTGGATGGGGCTGTGAGCAACCTGGTCTAGAGGGAGGTGTCCCTGCCTATAGCAGGGAGGTTGGAACTAGATGTCTTAAAGGTCCCTTCCAACCCAAACCATTCAGTGATTCTAATTTCTTCAAATTGCTGTGCCCTCCTAGAAAAACACCATTTAAGTTCCAACATTATTGAAATGTTATTTTCTAATATTTAATAAAAAAAAAAAGCAGTAGAATCTTCCTCATAAGATCAGTTGATTTTAACACATCAGATACCGCTTATGCCATATATATGCCAAATAATACCATGAAAACACAAGTGAAGCAGAAGTATATCATACTTGTTTTGTTTTATTCTATTTTAAGTTAAGAACACTTTGTTTTTTGTTTGTTTTGCAGGTATTTTGTTTTAAGACATTACTGAGGACCTAACATATCTTTAGGCTTCACCCACTGGTCAAACTGGTCTGATGTGAGGAGTCCCAACTTGATAGCAGCTTCTTTTAACGTTGTCCCTTCTTTGTGTGCAGTCTTGGCAATCTTAGCTGCTTTATCATATCCTGTAGCAAACAAAAAGAAACCATTTAGCCATGTTCACTTTCAGAAGATTTTTTTAGAGATGAGAAAAAAGTAAGACACTCGGTTTTCTGAGAATTAATTTTGCTAGATACTTCTATTACTACTTAACTCAATTTGCAGTAAATATGCACTGAATGTATTATACAAACTCCTTACTTAAAGTAGTCTTGATGTAGGTTTTAGACTACGTAAGAGTTTTATGCAACTTTCTCCCATTTTCATGTTTCACTTTTTGTTATTATCAGAAATCAAATCAGGATGACATACACAAATTCTCTCAATCTCTTTTCTGTTCTGAATTATTTCTTTAACACACCGTTATGGTACTGCAAAAGCAAGGTGTATCTTTATCACCACCAACAGCAATTGATGATGCTAAAGGAAACTAACTTTTGGCCTGGCCCAGAACTTGGTTTCCTAGCACTATGACAATACAAACAATGCATGCAAAATAATGTTTCTGAAAAGTGTTTAAGTGCAATGTTTTGAGAAGTTTCTGAGCTTTAAACCTACCTATATGTGGATTAAGTGCTGTTACCAACATCAGGGATTCACTCATTAGTTTGTTGATCCTATCTGTATTGGCTTGGATTCCGACAACACAGTTGTCAGTGAAAGAAACACAAACATCTCCAAGAAGTCTTGCAGAGTTTAAAACATTCTTAATCTAAAAAAAAAAAATAATAAAAAATACCCAACGATTATTGTATTCAGATATTAGCAGCTGCACAATTGGGCACAGCTGTTTCTAAGTGGCATCTCTCTATCCCCCAAAATGTACCTCTCTGATTGGCAGCAAAGCAGTACATAAAATAATGCACCCTATTCCTGCTGCAGGCTATGCTCAGTTACTCCCACTTGAAGTAATTTTCTGAGAATCTTTTAAGAGATGAACTCTTGCCTACAGACCACTGTATGTAAGGATGTCTTGATACAACAGTTCACAAGTACTGAGTAAGAAATGAAGGTATTTCATTCAACGTCATTCCTCCACCACTAGGTACCAATACTACAACATTTAACACTATAAAGTACAGCACTGTCTGGCATTAGCCTCCTGCTTTGACAATCCATAACATCCCACTTTTTTTTTTTTCCCCCTTCTCCTTTTTTTTATTTGTCTATGAGAATTTATATTCTGCTAGTTACATCTCTTAGCTGTTCAATATGATTTTTGGAGGGTGTGGGGCAGGACATGGTAGCTTCAAAAACAAGTGCTGTATGCTTAGAAGTTCATTCAGATGGGAGAAAGAAAAAAATATTTTAATAATTCCTAACGTAAACTAAAAAAGCGACATCAGCAAGTGTATGCAGTGTAGAAAAACAACATACAGCATTCTGCTTCCCTTGTGCCTCTTATCTCTAACAAAAAGACAGAAACTCTACAGCTTTCCTTTTATTTCTATATAATATTAGTGTCTTTTTCACAAATCACTTTAGTTGTTTTTAAAATTATCATCCCTACCCTAACCTCCGCAATATTACTTTATCTTATACACTGTTCTTCACTGTTGTGAAGATTGTCTCCACAATCTTCTCTCATTTTTTTTTTTGTTCTCTCAATTCTCCTGTTTGTTTCTTGGGTTTAATTGAAAAAAAAAATAAAAAAAAAAAGAAAAAAAAAGTAAATAACCCAAGGAAGAAAATAAAAATGACGACTTCATTTTAAAACATCCAACTTTCAGTACCAGGTGATATGCGACATTCAAATAATTTTTTAACTAAATAGAGGAAAAGCAGTATGTGCACACATCTTTAAGATACAAGCTTATCAGCATAAGATATCTTCATGTAACAAGACTGCTACCATCCTGTCAGAATAACAATTACCATACAAAAGAATAACGTTTTTTCTCACATTTTATCAGATTCTCCAGTCCCCGTATTGACCAAATATTCATTGAGCTTTTCTCTACTTATCTGACTGTACAAATGACAACATCAGAAGTCCTAAATATTTTACAACTTCTAGGACTTACCATCATGGGCTTAAAAACATTCAGCTCAAAGTGCCCATTGCTACCTCCTACAGTAACAGCAACGTGGTTTCCCATAACCTGGGCTGCCACCATGGTAACCGCTTCACACTGCGTAGGATTCACTTTTCCTGGTTGTGAAAGGGAGACAAAAACATTAATGATGACTAAGGAAATCCATCAATCATTTGTTTTCTCATTTACCAAATCACATTCAAGAGAAGATACTTTGTAGGAGGTAACGTTGTACTCCTTTTTATCTGTTCACCACAAAAGAAATTATTTCCGTAAACTATATTAAAATTTAACTGTACTGCTCTAGTCTTATTTATTCCCCATTCTCTGCAAAATGCAAAACCTTCAATTATATTGTCTTCTCTTGAAAGAAAAATCTGCAGAATGCAAAGATTTAAAGAAGGCCACCCACGGATGGCTGCTTTAGCAATTTGCTGAGTTTTCGAGAGTAGGCTCAAACAGGCATGAACTAAGCAGCTGTTAATTACTACAGTCCTTAATAATCAAGAGATTGTTACCTGTCTTTACTCAAGCAGGTTGGTGTGTCTGGTAAATCATTGCCAAGTCTCAGTTAACTTAAGAAAAGTATTACTAGCTTGTTAAAATTATTTTCTAACAAAATCAATACACTGCCTTTACTTGGCCAAGAAGAATAAGTACATACATTCTCCTTCATGTGCTTGCCAGCACACAGCTGTGCAAGCATTTTTATGAACACGAATTTTGGTAAAATATAACAGAAGAAAAACTGACAGAAGTGTCAGTTCACAGACCTACTGACATCAAAGAGTTAGTAGTCCAAAACAAAAGAAACAGGAATTTTTTCTCCGCATGTTTTCTCCATACCTGGCATGATACTGCTTCCTGGTTCATTTTCAGGCAGGATGAGTTCTCCTAATCCAGAGCGTGGTCCAGATCCCAGGAAACGAATATCATTAGCTATTTTCATCAGACTACATGCCACTGTGTTCATAGCTCCGCTGAGTTCAACTAGAGCATCATGAGCTGCAAGAGCTTCAAATTTATTGGGAGCAGTGACAAAGGGCAAGCCTACAGGGACAGTGAGGAATATGAAGCCTATTAGGCACTTACATGAAGACATAAACCAGAAAACCAACCACACTTAACATAAAACTATGTTAGTAACACCAAGCTCATCTCTCTTTCTACCTTTCCTCAAAAATGTGTTTCTTAAACGGATTCAATTCAATACAAAAGGCAATACAATAAAAGTCACTAAAATAGACAAGAATGTGAAACTAAAGTATCAACTCAAATTTGAGAAGCAAAGATATGGATTTCAAGTTTCCATGCTGTATTGCATACTAAGCAATGCAGCCATTTGCTTTGCACCTCAATACTTAAAACATTTCAATAATCTCTTGTGGGTTAGCCCAAATGTATCCATCTTAATTCCTGTTTACACTCTCCATTTCAAGGATGCTTTCTCTCAGTTATAGAAATAGGGGTTTTTGCAGCACAGCCATTAGGGCAAATAAGAAGTAATCACAATTGGATTAGCTACTTAAGGAAAAAAGATGCATCAAGCATTAGCACTGGAAGGGAACAACAGCCAGATGGAACATGCAAAAGCTCATTAAGGCTTAGGATGCCTGAAACTTCTGGCAACAGCAAAAGCCCAGGAGCAATGGAAGCAACAGCTCTTATGTTAATTAAATCTACAGTCTGAGTGTAGGTTCTATAATTAAAAACATTTCTTCAGGACTCTGCCCTGCAAGTAAATTCTCAGCAAAATTTTATTGGTGGTGGTGGACATCAAATATGGATGCTGAACTTGTGCCCCACAGAATTACTGGCCTGAGCTTATTTTATCAGTACAAACAAGAAGAGTAGCAAAATCTCAGTTCCTAGAGGAAGTGCAAATTCCTACCATGCTCTGCAGACCCTGCCAGACACAGGCTCCCATTCTATCTGAATGCACTTCTGCATTTCACAGATGCCAAGATCATTCCAAACTTTTCATTTTGTCTTTGCCAATAAATTTCCCATGAGAGAACGTAAGGAATTTAAACAGTCTGCTCTATTTGTTTTAAACCTGTACAACCCTCACATATGGTATACCTAATGAGCGTAAGATGGACAACCCTGCCCACAGCAGGGGGTTTGGAACTAGATGATCTCTGAGGTCACTTCCAACCCAAGCCATTCTGTGATTCCACATGATTCTATGGGACAGCTTCCTACAACACTGATGGCTTCTCCAAGGCACCAAAACAAGCCCTTTACTGCTTCTCAGCAGCTGTTGTTTATATCACTTCTTCCCTGCCAAGGTACAAGAAAATCTCAATCTTCTACTAGATTGTGAATAATAGATCTGTTAATACAAAAATACTGCTGATAAGCAGTTACAGTATATGTAAGTGAAATACATATGTATTCATTGTGGGGCCTTTTTTAAAAATGACATAGAAAAACTGGTCCACAGATCAGAAAATTCAATGGCTCTTTAAGTTAAGATTTAAGATCTATAAAGACAGCATCAGAAACCAAACAGCTAACCTTCACTCCTTCACATGAAATAAATTGGTGGTTCTGGAAAAGTTTGGGGTTTTTTTTGTTTAATCTCCTCTTCTTTTGTGGCAAGTAATTGAAGATCAAGGGAGTCAGAGAAACAGAGATCAGAACTGAAGTACGGCTGGGCTACTAATAGAAGTCTGAAACACTAAATCTCCAGTAAGCCAAATTCATTGCACCACTCTCACTGCACTGAGTACTGTTAGAAAAAATACTCTGCATGAAATAATTTTAAGTATAAGGCTTACAAAACATATACTGCTTTATAGATAACTCCGAAATATCATTTCTCACCCGTCAGTTCAGCCACTTTAGCAGCAACTTTCTCAGCAAAGCCAATTCTTGTGTTTAATCCTGTACCAACTGCAGTCCCACCAGCTGCCAGCTGATACACTCTTGGCATGGTTGACTCAATCCTAGCCACACCGTATTTAATTTGTTGCACATAACCACTAAATTCCTTTGAAAGAATGAAACATAGAAGAAAAACACAGCAATAAGAAAATAGAATTCTTTGGATTTTTAACAATACTCACTTACTGAAGGCATTGAACTTCACCAAGATGCTAAAAGGTGTTTTCATTAAGAGGGAAAATTCCCATATATTAGAAGACTGCTCACACAGCAGGGACAACTTACACATAAAGGCAACCTACATATATAAAAATGTATATTACAATGCATCTTTCTCTTGCCTTGTATCTTATTCATGTACTTTGTAAAATCTGAATCCAAGGTAGGTCATACCTCAGATTGCACTAACAAAGACTCAAGGTGCAATTAGACAAACAGATCCTGGACTTTGTTCATGTAATTTTGGTTAATCAGAAATCCACCTGTGCCTTCTGGGGAAAAAAATACACAAATTTTACAGAGATTTTTTATCAGTTCAGTTAGAATTAATACCTTACCAAGTAAGGTAACCTAAGCAATTCCTGACAATACAATAGCAAGGATTTCTCATACACATATGATCATGAACATACTTTTATTCAAAATATTTTGTAGTTCTGTATGTTGTCTAAACCTCATTCATATAAATTTACAAATTAGAGGCCCAATTTACCATGTTGCCAGTGTAATAGAAATAAGTTTTGTTACTTGGCAATCAAACATCACTTTGAAATCATTTATATTTTACTACCATAAGCAACATATATGGAAAATTTTAAGAACGCTTCCAAAGCGGTTATTAGAGAACAGCATTCAGCAAAACTCCAAAAAAAGATGAAAATATTCAGAGATTCAGCCAATTGCCTAATTTATCTTAAACTGATTTTAGTCTCCTCAAATTTGCCCATTTCCTCCAATATATTTACAACTTTTCCCCAAACAAACGTGCATTTTCACTGTTTACCTGCCCAAGCGTAAGCGGAACAGCATCTTGTGTGTGAGTGCGTCCTATTTTTATGATTTGGGAAAACTCTTTGGATTTTGCTTCGAGTGCATTCTGTAGCTTCTTCAGTCCAGGCAACAACACCTCATTAACTTCCTGGGCAGCAGCGATATGCATTGCTGTTGGGAAAGTGTCATTTGAACTCTGTGAAGGAAGTTTCAGAAACTTATTTACAGGGTTTTCTCACCATAACACCTTACAATATTAAGACTGACATGTATGGATTTATTCTCTTTACTTTATGAAGAAGGAATTGAGAATACAGTAAGGAACCTAGCAGTGTTCCACAAGCCACTCTGAAGGAATCATTAAATCTTCGAAACTCCCATCAAGCGTGTTATTAATAAAATGTATGCCTTATGCCCACAGAAGCTAAATACACCAAAGGACAACAGAACTGCTACAAAATATAAAATATAGATAACAAATGGATTTGGGAATTTTAAGAAATTATAGCTGACTTCAAAAGGTCAAAAATATTGATTTTGTAATGATAATTCCATAGTCCCATATGATTTCGAGCAAGCACAAAAGATCAGAGCTACAATCAACTCGGTGGCTCAAACTTCAGCTAATCTGAAGAAAATTCTAAGGGTGAAATATAATAAACATGTCTACTTAAGAGTGGGTAAACAAATACTAAATGGCTCTTTTGCTTGCCAATTACAGAACCTTCCACCTTATTATTTCTTCTACATGCTTTATGGAGTGTATTTGGGAGATAACATCTACATGGATGCAACCTCTAGAAACTGGATTTAAATTGAACTTTTTTATGACTGCTTGCAGAAGCGTTCATCACCAGGCCACTTCTGCCTGATGTATCACTTGTGAATTCATCTGTCATAAACGAGATGAGAGTTTTCAATCTGAAAAGCTCCTACTGACACAGACCAAATTTTCAAGTTCCTTTAATCTGAAAAACCTGAAATTTGGAAAATTGTTGCTAAACCCACAAATGCAACTATTTTTTCTATATACATATATATTTTTTTTCTATATCCCATATTTTATTTAAACAGATACAAAAATAATCTAAACAGTGGCTGTAAGACAATTCAGAATTAAAAAAAATTAAAAGAAGTATAATACAAGTATAATAACCTGGCTTTTATTAACATGATCATTTGGATGTACTGGAATTTTGCTGCCCAGTTTGCCTCCCAGTATTTCAATAGCTCTATTGCTGATGACTTCATTGACATTCATATTGGTTTGAGTTCCAGACCCAGTCTGCCACACCACCAGTGGAAAGTGATCATTCAATTTTCCTGCAGCTACCTGTAATGGAAAAGCAGAGAAGATCTGTTCTACCAGAAAAAAAAAAAAAAGAAAGAAGCAGCTATACTTGAATATATTGCAAGATTCATATGTATTGACTTGCATGGAAAGAAGATCCTGATCAGCTACAGATGTCTATACCAACTTATACCTTCTGTAGGTAGGTTGTGACACTTGCCATCTCAAGTCAAGGCAAAGCAACAAATATGAATATTCTCCTCTTCAATCTATATTTTTGGACCCTGATGAACCTCATCCACATACAGAGATTTTTCTAGGGATGTAATAATTTCAAAATCTGTGCTCACAAGTATCTCTCCCATGCATATCAACCTCAGAAAAGCATAGAATGCAAAACAAGAGATCTGTTGTCACAACACTGAGGTTAGATCTCTATCTCCAAATGTTCAACTTACAACACAGTCCTCCTGGAATCATGCTTTTCAAGAAAAGGCTTTATTAGATATTTCCTATTTTATACAAGGGCAGAGCTTCCACTTTGAAAAGCAATTCTGTTCTTTGTTCTATCTTTTTTTTTTCAGGTTACTGAGGAGGCATTTTTAAAAATGCAATAAAAAAACCTCAAACAGCTTTCAGAACTCACAAATCTAAGCCAAGGAGCCTTTAGCCACCAAAACCTCTAATCCACCTTTCACTAGAAAAGACTGGCTATACTCTCGAGTTCCCCAAAGTTCCTGGGGCTTGAGACTCATGGTACTACAGATGATAGAGAGCAGACAAGGCTTCTGCATACTTCCAAGATTTTGAGGAACAAGAAAGCTCTGTAAAACAATTATTCCAGCTAAATATCTGTTGGTCTATGCAAAGGAGTACAAATAGTATAACCATGCCTTAGTTATTGCTCATTCACAACTGTGCATTAGGGTGGTATTTATCCTGATAAAGTGAAGATATTTCTGTCTCACATCATCCTCTTTAGCTATAAAAGTGATACTTGAAAAAGCAGGGATTGACTAGCAATCCTAAATCTGAAGAGGAAACAAATGAGTAACAGAAAAACTATTCAGACTGCAGGTGGTCTTCAAAATACAGGGATACAATTGCTTAACAGACTAGAGACTTTGATAAAGTGGAAGCTTTGCCTGTATGGCAGACTTGCTCTAACAATTCAAGAAAGAAATGCAAGACATCTTCATCAAGCCCTCAAACAGTGCTCCCAAGAGAAGCTAACCAAATATACAGTGACAGTTCTAGTATTTTCAGCATTTGCTCCTACCTCATCTGCTGCCTTTACAATAGCACTGGCAATCTTTGGGTCGAGACCATAATCTTGATTTACTTCAGCTGCTGCCCTCTTCAAGATGCCAAAGGCCCTTATAACTTGAACCTGAGACACAAGAATAAATTTAAACATGTAATCTTTTTTCATGAAGAACAGTTAGGAATCCACAGCACAGATCTTTTCTAACTCAAATCCCTTCTAATCTTAAACACAGCAACAGCCAACCAAGCAACCAGAGAGCAATTTAGAGCACGTGATGTGTCATCTCATTCCAGGTAACATTTATCCAAACAGTACAGAAAGCAATTCATAACTCACCCTTTCTTTCTATGTGTATCAAAACCAACTACATGTATTAAAACGAACAGAAAAGAAGAACTGGGTTTGTTTCTAAAATAGAATTTTGAAGGCAGATTGGCTTATGCTTCAGTACATTCAAAAACAGAGAATGATAATGTCCATGTACGCTCATGCTTTAATTACATCTACAAGAAAGCAGTTTATCAACATATGACACTTAAATAACCTTCAATACACTTAGATACTCCCTACATTTAAATATCTTCAACAACAAACTACACTGCATTACAGTAAAAGTAATTCAAATTATTCATCCTGTTGGTTTGGGTTTTTTTGTTTGTTTGTTTGTTTTAATAAAACAACACAATAAAAAGCAAAACCTCACCATGAAAATTCTAACTTCAATGAAAATTCAAAGGTGACCGTACTTCCAGAAAGAGATTAAGAAAAGGTATTCACTCATATCCAGAAACATACTGAAAGGTGTAAGTGGACACAGGCTTGAATTACTTACTGGCATCCTTTCTGAAACACCTCCGATCTTGAAGTTCATCGTAGATCTTACAGTCTGAGCACCATAGTATTTGTCACTTGGGACCTTCAGTTCACCAAAGGTATCATATTCTATCCTAAAAGACTCTTGAGTGGACTGTAGGAAAGGGAAATAAAAAGTATGTTTCAAACACTGGCAAACAGCATCTTTTTCTTGAAAGGAGAAACAACTGAGGAAAAAAGGGTAACAAAGATACACAACTAGTGTTAAGTATTTTTCTAATTATACTTACAAACTTTTGACACATTTCTAGTCTGATTACCTGTCGCTACAAGAGTCACAATTACAAATATTACAGCCTAGCAAACCCACTGGTGACAGGCAGCACTGAGAGACTTCAGACTTTGGCTGCTCACTGCATAAAACTCATCATCCTGGTGAAGACTCATGTTGTTTTGAAGAATCAGAAACTCATTTTACAATTTGCAGAATGGCTGTTAGAGCCAAACATTAGAACTAACATGGTTCACACAACATCCATCTAGGCAACGTAACAGAAACCCTATCAGAAATCCACACTGCACATGGGAATTAAAATACTTGAAAGGAGCAGCTGAGTAATTGATTACTAGCTGCTGATTGTGAATTCTCACCTTATGCCTAAGAACACTATATACACGTTATTATCTAACACAGAAGTAAATTAAGTTTAGGTGATGTACACCAACTGAAAAGTAAAGCCTTTTTTTTTAAATAAAAAAAAATCCAATATATTCATTTATGACATGATCACATTTGTATGTTGCTTCGCAGATTATGGGATTGGAGAGGAAGCATGTAAATGCAGTTTAGTCTTTCTCTTCCTACACTTTTGTCAGCAAAGCCTCAATCTGCTATGAGAAAGATGCTCATCCTTCCACACAGGAAAAGGTTACCTTCTTATGGAGTCCCCAGAGAGGGGAAAAAGACTATTTGAATTCTTAATCATAGATGGAATAAAACAATCCCAGCTTCATAGTAATACACACACAGTGATGGGCTTTGGCCTAACAATGACCATCAACTGTAAATCAAATTTTAGGAACTATTAGGAAAACGTTATCATGGTTCATGTACGTTTTGAATGCTAGTTGCAGATTTGGTTTTCTCATCTCAAAAAAGCATATTATGTGAAACAGTTCAAAGAAAGGCAGTAAGGCTGATCAAAGTGGGGTACAGCTTTTACGCAAGCCTGATTGTGTAGTTCAGAAAGAGACAACCTGGGGACCAAAGGAAAAACTAGAGCACTAAAATTGCTAGAATGACAGCAAATACTAGCTGCTCACTGTCTCTTCCAGTACAAGAAATATGAGCAACAATATTAGGGTAGCAGGGGGGAGGTTCAAGGTAACAGAAGGAAGCATTACTTCACACATGGCGCAGACTGACAAAACTGCTTGCCAACTGATGTTGTGGATGCAAGAAGCTTGCAAGTGTTCAAGACAGACAAGATACACATTCAGAAAAAAACATCTGAACTGGGTTATCACACAGAGAAACCACAGACTCGGGAAAAGTCCTTGATTTGAAAATGAGAAGTCTGTGTAAGTGAAAGAAGAAAACACTTTATATGTTTGCACATTTCTTACTCTTCCCTAGGTGTCCGCTGCTGAAGCCATACTGTTTCTCCCCTTGGTCAGCTTTACTTTCTCCTTATTCTGTGGGTCTTGGACTCCTTGGAGAGGAGCGCAGCTGAGTTTGTGCAGAACAGCACAAACTCTCCAGCAGTCTGTCCATGTCTATACCATCACAGCTAGCAAGCGGTAGGTGGGAGTATTTCATATTTTACTGTCCTGGGCAGCGTTTCCAGCCAGATGGAGAAGCTCTGCCATTAGGTACACCAGCAACCATGTAACAGAGCCACCAGCCTCAGGGCTCAGGGCTCTCTTGCAGTGCAGATGTTGCATATGACTCAGAAGAAACTGCAGCCCAGCCCACAAACACCAAGGGTTAGCTCGTGTACTGCTGTCCTGCTCCCCACAACTTGCTTTTGACCTTCCCACAGACCCTGACCCCACAGAAAGAGTACACAGAGCACAGATCAATATGCCTTTTTGACAATTCTTAAGCCTCTCTATTCTGTTTTAATCACTTAATGTTCATATATATGCTAAAGAAAAACACATCACAGATATCCACTGGTCTACTGGTCTCTAAAACCCCTGCTTTTGGTAACTGGACACTTCAGGTAAGCAGACAACATAAGGCTTTCTATAGAGATGTGCTCTGTTTCTGCCAAATTCCAAGCACCCATAGTCCAAAGCTTACAGTTAGGCAAACATAACTGTCCTCTTGCCTTGTTGCAGGGTACTGATCAGCTAGGACTGATTGCACCATCACACACTGGAAGAATTTAAACAGAACTGCTGCTGTAATGCTTCCTGTAGAAAATGATATTCTCATTTGAGATGTAACAACTTTTGGATGTAAGTATTTCAGATCAAAGAATAGTTGTTTGTTTTTTTTTTTACCATGTCAGAAACAGTCCTTAAAAACTGGCAGAAAATGGAATTTGTGCTTATCTACTCTCCTTTATATTATCAACTGAGTCCCAAATTCTGATATTTACTCTTTAGGAACAGCTTGTGCAATTTAGCTTTAAGTTGAGGCAATGCAATAGCCATTCAATAGGGCCACAGGCACACTACATTCTATGCAACATAAATTGTTCCAAAATATAAATCTTGCTGCCAAGAAATTCTCTACAAACTTCAGAAAGCGTGAGCTTTGGTTCATTATTTCCCTCCACCCTCATTTAAATATTGGTTGGTACATTTTTGGTAGTGCTCTTGGAAATAAAAACACACAAAATTTTCCCATAGTTTGAACTCTTAATCCTCGGAGGAACATTTTGCTCTAACTTCTAACACGTTATCTAAACTCAAGCAATTAATAATGCCTACGTGCAGCACAGGGCATATTCCTGACCTGCAAAGATCACAATACTGCACTTCTTGTCAGACTGCTGCCTTGCATACGTATTGGGCCTTCAGCAAGTGCAAGAAGGCCACTATCTATAACATACATGTCACAAAATCACAGAATGGTTTGGGTTGAAAGGGACCTTTAAGATACCTAGTTCCAACCCCTGCTACTTTGCCAGACACCTCCCTCTAGGCCAGGTTGTTCAAAGTCCCATCCAACCTGGCTTCCAATGCTTGCAGGGAGGGGGCATCCACAACCTCAGTGGGCAACCTGCTCCAGTGTCTCACCACACTCACAGTAAAGAATGTCTTCCTAATATCTAATCTGTATCTACCCTCTGCTAATTTACAGCCATTTCCCCTCATCCTGTCACTACCTGCCTTTATCAAAAGTTCCTTCCCAATTAGTTTTCATGCTTTTGTTGCCCCCCTTTTATGTTGCAATTAAGAATATTAAAAACTTTTGCTACTTATACATAATAATTATATTACACTCCTTTTATGTAGCCCAATACAATTCCTCTTCATTCAGTGCAGCCCAGGCAAGCCAGAAAGGTTGGACATCCATAAATCCATAATGCTTTCCTTCAGCTTCAGAGACCCTTATGGAATAGCATTCACGTTCCCCCAGCAGCCCAACAGCCAACGGGCAAGCCGCAATAAATAATTTAGGATGTCTGGCAGAGATCACAGACCGCTTTCGGGTACAGCCGAAGCACCTCCCTACTTCTCGAGCAGCCCGCAAGACTCTCCTGATTTTTCTAGAAGCAGCTCCGCACGCCAGAACTCTGCCGCAGCTCGGGCAGCTCCGGGCCCCGCTCACATCAAATCCCGTCCCCTACGGGCACCACAGATAACAGCCGGGCAACGCAGCGCGGGCACCGGGCCTCCGCAGGCCGCGCGCTGCAGGCAGGGAACAGCGAGCGGAGCGCAGGACCGCTCCCGGCGCCACTCTCACACCACCGCGGCTAAACGCCCGGCCCGGCGCCCACAGGCAGCGCAGGCGGCGGAGAGCCGAAGGGGCGGAGCCGCGGAGAGGACGGCTGTCCCGATAGAGGTCACGGCGCCCCCGGCCCGGCCCGATGCTCACCATGGCGACGCGCAGCGGGGTCCAGCGAGCGGCGTTGTCGGCGGCTGTGCCGGGGAATGGCGGCGACGCCAGGAGCCCGGCGCAGCGGCCCAAGCGGCGGAAGGCGCGGAGTGAGCGGTGCATGGTGACGGCGGAGGGAGAGACCGCCGGGGGCGGAGGAGGGAGCGGACCGCCCCGGATGGGCGTCAGGATGGAGGGCAGCCATCGGCACGCGGGCTGCTGCCGACCAATCGGCTGCTGCGGGAGCCGAATGGCTGAGGAGCTCCGGTCGGAAAACGATGCTTCCTTCCAATTTAAAGGCAGCACCGGGTGGCTAGCCGCCGGCTACGCAGCGGCCAGGTCCGGATATAATTCCTTTCTTCTTCCTGCTCAAGCAAGTACAGCAGTGCTCCACGCTTTGGTGGAGGCAGTGGTTCCTCTGAGAGAAAAGAGAGGACTGAGCCACAAGCTTTAGAAGTTCGAGAGATCATAGAATCACAAAGGTTGAAAAAGACCTCCACGATCACCTAATTCAACCACCAACCTATTCCCTTCAACCATATTCTTCTCAGTTCCATCTCTGCACATCCTTCCAGGGCCTGGCCCAGTCTTTCTGAGAAAGCCAACTTAAAATAGTGAGTACTAGTATTAATTTCTACTTACACTTCCAGCTGGGTATCTTGCTTCCTTCTGCAAAACAGAAATATGACAATTTCTACAAGTTTATAACTTTTGGTTTATTTCTAACATTAATTACTTCAGCACCATATTATTTTCCCATTAGCTGAAGTCAGCAATTTTAGACAGTTGCCTAAACTCAAAATACATTTCTCGTTTTTAAAATTCACAAATAACTGCCTTTATTTTGCATGTATAATTACATACATACCAGCATATTCAAAATAAATACAAATACTGGGACAAAACTTCTGAGGACTTTATTTAGACACATTTTGTGTTTTCCCTTTGAGTTGTGGAAGATGAGTGAAACAACACAAGCTGTTCTGCATTCCACTTTCATAGTTACGGAGTAAGCCAAAGAACAGAACATAAGTTAGCAAAACCTTGAAGCAACATTTTTCCATTCACTGATAATTAAGAGCAGTATTTTGATTTGCTTCTGCTATGCATATGTACATCAGCCCTCTCTGGGAGAGGACTGCAAGTTGAATCTAAGTTACTAGTATGAGCGAATAGCAGGTGGAACAGTTGAACAGTCTTCTTCGTTCAAAGTTCTGTCTATTACAGGTCTGTATTTCAAGGTAACCTAAAATAAAAAAGAATGGGGGGGGGGGAAATAAAAATCAAGGTAAAGGAATCTCATATGTAACAAAGACAGGCTAGTTAACAGGAATGACCAAATAACATGTGCAACAATGACTTATGTTAAACCATTTCCCCATTATTCATTTAATTCCATGGAACACAAACATATGGTAACCCTCAATAAACATTTAAGTTCTACCCATTTACCAACCGAATCTATTAAAACCAAAAGCTTGATCAGAAATGGTATAGGAAAACTATATATCTAAAAAAGAATGCTATCAACAGCTGACCAACAGAACTGCTTCCTACTGACAAGGAGACTCTCAACCAGACTCAGCATACCTTCCCCGACTTGACATCCACATATGAAAGGGTGTGCTTCCTCCAATGCTCTTCAAATGGCCTCTTCTGTTGGCCTTGGAGTGGCTTAGAATAGTCAAACTCATCGACCCGTAGCTAAGGAGGAAATGTTAAAACAGACAAGAAATCGGCATCTGCAAATCACTTTAGAATCACATTATTGGTTGCAACTGTAATGCACCTCCTAACAGCCAGCAAGCTTTATTTTAATACTGCCTGTGCCAAAACTCAAAGTTCTTGTTAAGCTTTGGTATTAAAATCACGTTCCTTACATAGAATTATTCTGTCTTCAACCCTGTTCGCACATTCACGACTTTATTATTACTGTAGTCCTGTTCCAGATCTCCCTAATCATTCCAATGCACGCATTGGAACATCAAGGATAGCAAATGCAATCTTACATCCAGGCCACATAAAATACATACCTTATAGTCTTCTCTGGCATGAGCACCTCGGGATTCTTTGCGAGCCTCAGCACCATAAATGGTCTGTAGAGCACAAAGCATCAGGTTTTGCAGTTCGAGGGTCTCCACCAAATCAGTGTTCCACACAATACCTAGTAAAATTTGAAACACTGTGGAAGGTGCTCTACAAAACATTTTTTTCTTAATTTACTTCTAATCTAGTATTGAGACACACAGTCAAACTAGTCCATGCTCTACAGAATGCAATCGCAGTACTCCAATACTGAATTACTCAGTATTTCCAGGAAGGCTCTACATTGATGCCTACAGCCTTAGAAAAAAATCTAGAACTATTACAAAAAACGTCCAGGTGCACTACAAGTGCACGTGCACTTCTGAGACCAAGTTATAATACCGATTCTCACCTGCTTTATGTACAACTTACAATTCAGTTCCCACACCTCATTTCAGTTGACAGGACGAGGCCAGAGGGTTATTTAAGTTTTTCTTTTTTTTAAGTCGTTGTCTAAAAGACCCAGACAACCCAGGGGCTCCCCCTCAGACTAAAAAAAGAAGCCAACTTGCTAGATATACATGGTTCCCCTTAAGTATCTCCAATGCAGATCCCACGTTCTTTACATGAATATACTTCATTTTATTTCTTATGTTATATCACAACACTTCTTTTCTTGATGCTTGGTGAGAGTTGTCCAGGACAGACTGTTCTAATTTCAGTGTTTGAATACATGTCTAAAAAAGGACATAGCAGCTGGAAAGACATACGCAGCTTGAGGAGAAAAAACCTACACCACCAATTGCACTTAATTCATCAAATCTTAAGAAATACTAAAAGACATGACAGTATCTGTGTGAGAGCTATTTGCTCAGATGAAGAAATAAAATTGAGCATTCAACCTAAAAATAAAGTGTCTCGCCACCTTTCTGCAACTCACTGGCCTTTTCAAAACGCATTTATGGAGTTCCCCTTAGTATTTGAACAAATTCACATCACATTCCTTGAAGTAGTACGCAATTAGAGAGTGCCTAGTAAGATCAATTACTTTGCTGATTTCCATGCTTAGCAATTAGCAGTCTAAAGAGTCAAAATAATAGAGTCAATTTTAAACAAAAGAAAACAGAAGGTCTGTGGAAGGAAAGCAAACAAAGCCACCTTTCTCAGTAACTCTTTGCTACCAAATTACCTCTGTCAAATGTCTTTAGATGAGCCAGATCACGATAAATTTGGCTAAGTATTTCACAGCCTTCTTGTAGTACAGGGCCAGTACGAAATACAGCAGCATGGCTTTGCATTGTCTGCAAGACAATAAAAAAAAAATAATCAATTTCATATACGTAAATAATATTCCACATAATTTAATTCTAGCAGAGCTTGATACAGAGCTTTTCTGACTTCAGGCACGTTTGCAGCCTGAAGAAAACATTTCTCTGTTTACCCCAAACAGAAGAAAATCCTCTCTATTATACAGTGGGATAACAGAATATTCACAAAGGAAAGAAACAGCTAAGGAAACAGAGATACAGCTTTATTGTACACCTACATCTTCTCATAACTCTTTTTTATTTCTGCAAGGCAAATAAAAAAAAAAGTGGTCACTTAGCAATTTTTTTCTGCCTTACAGTTGACCAAGCTTACCTTCTGCATGTTAAGTCTCACTTCTGAAGTTCTTATGGTTCCATCAGCAAACCTTAATTTGTCGAGATTAGCAACTGATTCTTCACCAGCATTTGGTTTAATGGAGGGGACTGGTTCTCCTGTTAAGAAAATTTCAGTGAGTTTAGTAGGTGAATGTTTCTGGCAGATTCATAAAGTCGTAATGACTCTAACTCAGATCTGTTTTCTTTGTCTGAGACATAAGTTGACTGCAATTTTCCCAAATCTATAGTTTTCATAGCACTTTAAAAAACAGTTCCTAGTGGAATATTTTATTTTTATTTTCCTGTGATAGTTGGTATGGAAATTCCAGGTCAGGCTAAGTTCTGCTGCTAACTCCTTAAAAACTGCACTTGGTGCAAATTCTCCTGAACTGTGCAATAACTTTCACTGGATGTAGCTCATTATTTCCCTCCTATACTTACCTTGTCTCCTCATCCCCAGACCTCCCATCTTCTCTTGGTCCCTGTTTACAACCAGGACTTAACCAATGAACTTGGCAGCTACATGAGATTTCTGCATCTCCTCTCCAACACTAGAAAACATCTGTTGCTGGTTGACAAACATCATTAAACTAAACAAACAAGCAATATCTGACTAACACACTTCATCTGTGCAGTTCTGCATTCAGACTAGTTTCCCACAATTTCAAACTCAGAGGAGCCACAGGACTAATCCAAATAAAACATCTGTACAACCCAGAACCAATAAGCACTGCTAGATCCAAGGGCATTACATCACAGACCACTCCATACGTGCTGGGGGCAAGGGGAGGAAGGTGGAGGTTTGCTGCTGTTTATTTTTTATCAGTCTCACTCTGCATGGTCAAACTATGAGAAAACAGCTAAAAACTACTGGAATTCAGCCACTCTTGCAATGTAACTGCCTCTTAGAATGTTTCACTGTTTTTTGGTTTCGCTTTGTTTTGTTTTTAACTTCAAGTTTAGTAGCTACTGCTGAACCAAATCATTTAAGAAGTTACATACAACAGTGATAACACATATACAGAGGAAGAGCATAATACAAGTTTTACTATTTTTTTTCCTATCACTTGCATGTGCAGTCCACCTCATATATCAACAAGGTGGCAGCAAATCCCACTAAATGAAAGAAGTGGGAAAGCAAAGGACACTTACGCAGAATATGCAGTGCAGAATGTAGAGAAATCTTCATGTTCAACATCATACTATACTGAAGTGCAAAATTTCAACTGTTTTTGCCAGTAGCACTGAGAGTACCAGTTTAAAGTGGATAAGCTCACAAAGCAAGCCTTAATGACAAGCAGTAGCACACTTAAGAATCTGCATATAAGTAGTATAAATACCGATTCTTCCATTTTCTAACAAATAATAGTCTTGGTCTTGCCTTCTGAATTTGAAGTAAGTAGCAACTCGTAAAGCAAGTAGCAAATCATAAACACCTCCATAATAGTAAGACAAACACTAACACTTACC